GATAATGTGTATTGAGAAATGTGTGATATGTTGATATTTGCAGGTCAAGATTTGAAGACCGTGCATTCGGTTTCGGAAACCCACTGTGAGTAATATTTCTGTAAAGATATGTTATTATGAACTATGTTTTAAATGTATTACGTTATGCTATGCTTTGAAATGAGAATGTTTTCCGTGAATGAATGTCCTGATTTGCGAATCTAGTATGGCATCCATAGATAGTTGGGTCATGGGGGCGGGAACATGCAGGCCCATGCGTCATGAGTCATGGGGAACGGCATGGAAGGACAAGCCCATGACTAGTTACGAGATCTCGTCGACTGTTGACTGATAGACTGTTATGAAAGGGTCTGTGGAGTATGCCATTACGTATGTTCTTATGATGACTGATGACTGATATATGTTTATGATTGATTTATTGTGGATTTATGAAAATGTCGGACTTCGTTCACTAACCTCTTTACTGTTATGTTACTTGCTGAGCTCTAGCTCATTGTTTGTAATTATGTATTATAGGTGAGCATTCTGGAAGTCAAGCCTAGGCGGGTTCTCGAGCCGAGCCGCTGTTTTGAAGCCTAACAAGTGTTTTGTGTGCTCCGAGCCGGGGCTAGGCCTGGAAGGCCGTTTTGTGAGCTTTGTCTTGTTGTATCTGTGGCTTTTGCCTATGTGTTGTATATGATCTTTTATTGTATGTGATGTACAGTAAGTGGGTATATTAACCCCTTTTTTTGGCATATAATACTTGTTCATATTTACGCACAGCTCTTTGGACCATGGTTATTTGTTTTCGCTTCCGCGAGCCCTTTTTATTTATGTTTTGTATAGCAAGGCCTGTGGTAATCTAGGATTACTGGCCGGTCTCGTTGCCAGACTTCTAGGGGCGAGTTTGGGGCATGACAGTGGGCTTCACTTTAATCTGAAAATTTGTGGATTTGGAGCACCTTGAGTTTCACCTCTCTTCTCCATTCGGTCTCTCCATTTGAGGTAGGGATAACCTACTCTAATCTATGAGTCTTGACATAAATTTTAGTCATTTTGATTAGTTGGTGTTGTTTGGTAATTTTGGAAAAGTTAGGGCTTGATTTGTAATTTATAAAAGAGGGGTTCTTCATGTGTGAGTCAAACATGTGTTAAAGACTTGAAATTGGGAGTTGTTTATGAATTATGAGTGAAATATGAGCCTTGGGGGCAATCTTGTGAATAAGGGAAAAATGCCCTAATTACATTGAATAATTAATTTGGGGAAATGTGAAATTGGGTTGAGGATAATGAAATTGGGAAATTGTGGAAGTAAATGGTGTAGTTGGATAATTTAATCACTCACCTATGAAAATGTCAATATTTTATCCGTTGATAAATTTATTATCTGTTTAGAGATAACTGCTTTGGGCTATCAGTGGAGGATAGTCTTGATTGTTATAGGCACTGTATGTTGATTAGGGAAAACTAAAACTAATCGAACGTGTTGTGTCATTGAATATGACGGTTGAAATAATACAACAAATATGTGTATTGATTGATCATTGTATGTGATGAAGTGCTTAAATACATTATATATGTATATTTGTCAGGAAAGAGATAGGGGATGTACTCCAGTGTGTAAGAGGAGATAGGGGATGTACTCCGCACACATATGTGTTCATATACTTTAACACATTATTTTTGTATCATTATTTTTGTATCTTTGTTTGGGAGGAGATGGGGGATGTACTCCATATGTGTTTATATACTTTAACACATTGTTTATGTATCTTTGTTTGGGAGGAGATGGAGGATATACTCCATAGGTGATTATATGTTTGAATACATTATATATGTATATTTATTTGGGAGAAGATGGGGGATGTACTCCATAGATAAGTAAGCTGGCTGTAGTGTCCAGGGTAAAAGTCCCGAAACGTTATAATTGAATTGCAGGAATGAAGTTGTCAATTGAAGTAGTAACTACGTGAGATGTAGTCTCATTTTGAATTGTGGGAAACGGAGGTGTTCATAAGTCGAGTTGTAGTCTCACTTAAATTGTTTGGGTTAGACAATGAACCATATCTAGGAATTGGATTGGATAAATAAGGGAGGTGGATGGAAACATAGATGTAATACTTGTTGAACTATGAGAAGGGTGTGAATTGGGTTACACGTGTTAATCACTTGTCAAATGATAATGTTTTAGTTATTTCTCATATTGGGTTTAATATATCTCTACTAGGCTTTGGCTCACCCAACTTGGGACACCATTTTCAGGTACCGGAGACGTGCCAAATTCAAGATCTTTGCTTAGGAGGTTTTCGGAATTGAAGACTCGATTTTGTTATTTGTTTTATTAATTATATTTAAATGCAAGACGAGGGCTTTACCTATAAAAGAGTTAGAACTCTTCTTTTGTGTTACCAAGTAACAACTTGGAAAGATTTCAGCCCGCAGGGCATTCTATTATTTTTGTAAACATTTGTAACTTATATGAAATACTCTTTTGTAATATTAACTCTGATATATGTGTGGAGATGTGATCTATTTATCATGTAGATAGAACTGTTGGGTGTTGGGATTATGTATTATTTTGAGGGTGTTACATAACCGATAGGATTAACCGTTTTCGGTTTGACTGATTTGCTGGTTTAACCACAATTTTAGCAATTTTATCAAAATATATCAGTTAGATTTGTTTGATTCGAAATAAATTAAAGTTGGACCTAATTAAAGATTAAACGACTGATATTGCTTGATTCGAAATAAATTTCACACACAATTCTACTTTGGCAACAAAAAAAAAAAAGAAGAAAAAAAAAAGTAAGTTATTTCATTTATATTATATGAGGAAAATGAGGTTTTTAGAGAGAAGATTTCTAGGAGTTCCAAACTCTTATTTTAAAATTATTAATTTTTTTTTTAATTTTAGACAATTAAAAAAATTTACATTGGCTAGTTTTCATTTAACTTTTATTTTACAATTCCACATCAGAAAAAGAATGAAAAAGTGAGTTGTTTCACTTACATAAAGTGAATCTTATACTCTCATTTATATAAATTATTAAATTTTCTTAATTTTAAACAATTAAGAAAATTTACATTGGCTAACTTCCACTTAATTTTTATTTTACAATCTCACATCGAGAAAAAAAAGAAAAAGTGAATTATTTCACTTACATAAAGTGAATCTTATACTTCCATTTATATAAGTAAAATGTGATTTTTAGTGAGAAACATTATAATCAATATCTCATATTAATTTTTTTTGATTTTCTTAATTTGAAACAATTAAGAAAATCTTGATTGGCTAGCTTTTTTTTAATTTTTATTTTACAATCTCACATAGAAATTTTGATTTTAAAAATAATTTGGTATGAGATTTTGAAACTATCATAATATCTCTATTTTAAAAATATATAGATATATTGATAATCTCAATGCCATTCTTACTGTTCCTTAATACAAAAAATTATGAGATAATTATAATAATTTTAAATTTGTGTTTAAAACTTATAAATTATGGAAAAGATTATTATAATTTTAAATTTATATTAATATATTGTTTTTCATATTTAGTGACAGTTTAAATTTTAATAAAATAGAATTTAAAAGTTTTAATTAATTAATTTTTATGTAAGCTAGTCAGTCTTTTGACTTAACCGATTAAGCTAAACAATTTTTGATTTGAATGATTTGTTGGTTTAATTGTGATTTTAGCGGTTTTACATATTATGATGATTCTTTTTTACTCATTAAATTTTTAAAATTTCTTTAATTATTTCCCTTTCAAAAACCAATATGAAATTTTTTTAAAATTTATATATTTTTATTCTAAAATAGTGAAATATTAGAACTATGTCATTTTTTTATAACAGAGTATAATTTTAATTATTAATTGTCAATACAACAATTTTAATCTATATATACTATATGTTATAATAAAGGAACATTTAAAATAAAACCCTTAAACTTATATATAAAATTTTATTTATGAGACAAAATATAAAAATATATATATAATTATCATATTTTGAATAAATAAGATATTATTTTCTTTCGTGCATAGCACGAATGATATGTTAGTTTGTAGAGAAAAAAAACGCGGGGGGAGGGGGGAGTCAAATGAGGCTTGATATGCCTTTCATTCCAAGTTTCTATTGATAGGCTATTCAATTATCTCCATTGTAATCATATTTCCTATTAAAAGAATCATATTATGGTAAAATTGCACATAGAAAAAATAATTTCATAAAGTTTATTTGACCAATTGAATCTGCTTAAATAATTTCCCATTAGAATTTTGGACTTTACAAACACAATTATTCCTCATTACATCTTCTTAAATTTGTAATTATTCATCTCACTCAACACTAATTTTTAATTTTCTCAAAATTATAATATAGTTTTCACGACCTTCTCTTCAATGATATTTTAGTTGACTTTAGAAAAAAGTTTAGTAGCTTAAAGACGTACTTTACGTCTTTTGAAAAAATGAAAATCAGAAATAAAAATACAACTAAATAGACAAGTTGAAAAATCTAAACACCGCTTGTTTTCTATAATTTTTGCAGGTTATCGTCAATAGAGCAAACAACTTTTTGATTCACATTTATATTTAAAACTTTAATTAAATATTGTTAAGACGTGAGAGCAAGCAGACTTAGATAAATAAATGAATCCAAACAACTTGAAAACAAATCATACTCTTTCATATCGCATTTTCACATAGGAAAACAACACATATACTAACATGAACAATGATGCAAGTAATTCATTCGTGAATCACATACTTTAATTAGAATGAAATTAAGATAGGACAAGAGAGGACAGATGCCTAAATAAATGTCATTTAATCCAATAATTAAGAAATCCAAACAAATTAAAAACATGCCCCATACTTTTGAGAAATTTTTGTACCATGTTTGCACCGACATGGTACCATGTTTGCATGGACACAAGACTTAATTGATGACGAACTTGATAGGGGCTAAAATATACAATCAAAATGAGAGCCTAATCAGACTAAACTTTTACTATAAGCAACCGGAAAAATTATTTGAAAACAAAACCAGCTGTGCCAACTGTTGCAATTTCCATAAATCCATTGGTATCGAACCTGTCAAATTGTTCATTGACAAGTCCAATTTAATCAATTTCAGTGACTCAATTAGAGTTGGAATTTCACCAGATAATTGATTTTTGTTTAAGATTATTATTTTCAAGTTCTTCAATTGAAATAGTCTTTGAGGAATTGAACCTGTTAAGTTGTTCTCTGATAAATCCACTCCGATCAAATTTAGTGACTCGATTGGAGTTGGAATTTCACCTGACAAATTGTTTTTATACAAATACACTACACTCAAGTTTTTCAATTGGAACAGTCCTTGAGGAAGTGGACCGTCCAGATTGTTTCTAGAGAGATTCAAGTGTTGAAGATTGGACAAATTCGCAAAACTATCAGGTATTTTCCCGATCAAGTTCGTCCTCGTCATCCACAAGAACTCCAGCTTTTTCAAATTGACAAATTCTATCGGAATTATCGATGGCGAAAGCATAGTATTATAAGCCATACCTAGATTCACTAGATTCGCTAAATTTCCAATTTCGATCGGAACCGTGCCGTTGAACTGGTTTTCGTACAGGTACAATGTCCGGAGCTCCGGTAACCGGCTGATCGCAGGCGGGATCTCGCTGGAGAAGTTGTTGCCGCCGACGTTGATGAACTGGAGAGAGGATAACCGGTCGATGTCGGAGGGTATTGGGCCGACGAAGAAGTTCCGAGAGAGGTCTAGGTATTGAAGACCGGAGCAATTGTAGAGAACCGTAGGGAAGTCGCCCTGGAGGTAATTGTACGAGAGGTCAAGCACGGTGAGGTTTTTGAGGTCGCACATCAACGGTGGGATCGTGTCCGTGATGTTTTTATCGTGGAGGAGAAGTCCAGTGACTGTGCCGGCGGTGCACTCAGTCGCCGGCCAGGTGCACGGCGAGGATGAGGAGTTCCAGGAGGCTGTCCACGGCGGACTCTGCCACAGCTTTTTGAGGTTGAGTAGGGTTGTCTGGTCGGCGGTGGTGGCCGGGGACTGTGAAATTACGTGGAAGGGCATGAGAGTGAAGAAGTAGAAGAAAGAGAGTGGGAGTTTTGAGAACGGTGAGGTCATTTTGGACATTTTGTGGGGTTTCAGTTAGCTAGTGACCCGATCGGTCTGTTATTTTTATTTCCCGCGAAAACAAGGTCTGACTCTCAGACTTGGTGAGCTCTCATTGGCGTTTTGGATTGTTACTTATAAGTGTTGCGGTAATCGCTTTCTTTATTTGGACCCCACATTTTAATAGTTTTTAAGTAAATTTACTTATAAATCCTACTAGAGGAATCTGATCCATTTAATTTTTTAAAAAAAAATTATACACTAATTAATCTCATTAATTTTAAAAAGATAGATTTAATATATTATTTAAAAATTAAATTTATAATTATATACTTATTTCTATTATGTCCGTTCTCTTTTTTTTTTTTCTTTTCTTTTGTATTAGAAAAGTAAGGTACCCAATATATGTGAATCAAATTTGGAATAAATTTTTATATAAAAATCTTCTTTGTTTGGAAAACATTTCAAAAAGAATATAAAAATGATTTAAAATATAAAAGTTTTTAAACATTTCAAAAGGATGTGAGATTTTTTAAACATTTCAAAATGAATACAAAATCTATTTGATAAGTTTTGGCAAAATGTATTATTTCAAACTGTTATAGTTCGATGCAACACTCAAACGTAACATTCCAATGCAACACTAAAAAAATAAAAATCTTAATGTAATACCTTAATGTAACACATAAAAAAAAAAAATTCATTACTGTACTTTTTCCAAATATAACATTCTAAAAAAAATCTTAGTGTAACACTAATGTGACACCCAAAAAAAAAAAAAAAAAAAAATCCTTATTATAACATTCTAACATAACACACAAAAAAACTCCTTAATGTATTTTTTCAAACGTAACACTCTAATATATCATTCCAAAAACACTCAGTGCAACACTCTAATGTAACACACAAAAAATTTCTTAGTGTACTTTTTCAAATGTAACGCTCTAATGTAATACTCTAAAAAAATTGTAGCGATACTAATTTTCTTAAGTCATTATTTATTATTGTCATTATTATTTTATTTTATTTTTGACTTCACTAATTGTGTGGTTACATGAGAATTTAATGTGATGTTTAATTAATTTAATGTGTTTTTTAATTATATATAATTCATCTGAATAATTATACATATATTTATATTATTTATATATATATATATATATGTATTGATCATATATAATATATTTATATATATTGTATTTGTATAATATAATATAATATAAACAAAATAAAAATAAAAAGGTGTTATATTATAAGACCATCTCTAATGGTTCACCAAACTTAATATCAAATTTAAATTTTGATGAAAAAGTTACTATTTGGTGCTCCAACGGTTGCACCAAATCGACATCAAAATGAGATTTCACCAAACAATTCATCAAACTGAGGACAGGCTTCGCATTTTACCAAAACACTGGACATGATCGTTGGGGGAGACGAACCGGTTGACCAGCCGGTTGTCCATGAAAAAGTTCAAACAATTCAACATTTCTAGTTCAAACAATTCAAAAAAAAAAAAAATTTTGGCTTACCGGTTGACTAGCCGGTCGATCGGCCGGTCGACCAACCCGTTGTCCCGGAAAGAGTTCAAACAGTTCAACATTTCTGGTTCAAACCATTCAAAAAAAAAAATAATAATTTCCCCTCACCGGTCGACCAACCAGTTGTCCCAGGACAGATTTGGTAAAAGGTGAACCGTTGGAGCATCTGGTACCAAATTGGGAAAATTGTAATTTTTTTACTCAGATTTGATAAAAAGTTTGGTGAACCGTTGAAAATGCTCTAAGGGGATGTCAATTAGGTTATAAGTGCTAGAGAGGGCTTTGGGGTGTGGCAGTCGAGAGAGAGAGAGAGAGAGAGAGAGAGAGAGTGCGTGGGTAAGTGAGTGAGTATGTATGTGATCATCAAAGAAAGCCGCAGGAAGAAAAGGAAAAAAAAGAGAGGTAACGGGGAGAGAAAGAGGAGAAAAAAAAAAATTAGAGTTTTATTTTGGTAGCTCCATTAATTTTTTAAATATTTTTTGGATTTTTAAAAAAATATTGTAAGTACAAAATTCACTTCCCTTGATTTATATTTAATTTGTTGTTTTTACTTATTTATTTTTATTTATTTGATGTTTGTTTAATTTTATATTTACAGGAAGATGATTAATTGATTTTAATTATTTTGATTAATTATGTATGTAAGATTTAGAATTTTTAGATAATTGATTGATTTTTTTAATTATTTTGATTAGTTGTGTATGTAAGGTTTAGAATTTTTAGATGATTGATTGATTTTAATTATTTTGATTAGTTGTATATGCAAAGTTTAAGATTTTTATATGGATTTATTTTATGATTGTAATCACACTCATGAATACATGAAATTAAAATAAACTTGGAACCCATAGATAAATTCCTTATATTTCACCATGACTCCATGGATTGTTGTTTTATTTGAGTGTTGGTGAGAAAGAGTGAAAGAGTGTATAAAAAAAAGGTGAGGATTATGAAATTTATTTGAATGCCTTAAGCTTAGCATTATTATGTTTGTTCTCATAAGTGGATGAGAGATTGTGTATATATATTGTTGTCCCGTTCTCATAAGTAAACGAGTGTTTTGATTTACGCGCGTATGTATATGCTAACCATCCGGAGAATGTGAGTCAAATTTTGGACGATATTTCCGTGTAAGTTTGGCTTCAGAGCGATGTTAGGTATACAGGAGGCACATGGGATATATGTCTAGGTTGGAAGTGGAGGCTGAAGTGATGGAGTTAAGGTACAAAGAATTTAATTATGAGTTTATTAGTATAGTGTGAATTGTATTGATTTGTATATCTTAAAAAATAATAAACGACTTTGATAAATTATAAAATTTGAGCAAAGACGCATGAGATTTGTTTACTTTAATAACATTTATAAATTGTTTTTTTTATTGAGAGTTGAAAAAAATGAGGATTTTTGTATTTGGATCTACTACATAATTTTATAGTAATATGGATGCCCTGAATAACACCTTAATCCCATATTTTGTTATGGGATTTGTTCTTGAAACATAACTTAAATATGCTGAGGGATAAGCATAGCTGGTGGGCCCATCGTTCTAGAAATGAATCCCATAGTGCTAGTCTAAAATAGTGATTGCTTAAGCTTTGCAGTACTTGATTAAATTATACTATATGAAAACAAGTTGTCTAGCAAAATTAAAATTAAAAAAAAAAATAGCAAAATTAAAATTAAAAAAAAAAACGAGAGAGAGAGAAGGAAGGGGGGGGATCTTACTTGGATATTTGAGCCTTCTACAACTTTGATGGAAGGTTGGTTTTCACTGTGTAGGGTGGTGAAAAGGGGGGATCTTACTTAGATATTTGAGCCTTCTACAACTTTGATGGAAGGTTGGTTTTCACTGTATAGGGTGGTGAAAAAATAAAAATAAAAATATGAGAAGGTAGAAGAGATAAAAGCAATAAGTTATTCAAGAGAGCAAAATATCTTTTCTCTTTCTTTTTTGGAAAAATGTTTAACATTTTCATTTTTTTTTTTTAATTTGACCTATCTATCTATCTATATATTATATAAAGAAAATAAAATTTCTAATCTACAAATTTTGTGAGAGCTCCAATATCCTAATTTTAATTTTCAAATTTTTTGATTAATAAAAAATAAATAACCTCAGCATTTATTGACTTCTCTCAACTCACAAACATTTTTTATTTCTCTCATAATTACTACAATACCTTTTTTAACTTCTTCCATACGCTATGGTTAATGATGGGATTGTTAAAATTTTTTTTTTATAAAAATCTAAAAAATATGATTTGTATATTACAAAAATATCTAAAACAAATATAAATATCTATATCTATATATTATATAAGAAAAATGGGGTTTTTGATGAGAAGTCACCTAAGAACTCTAAACTCTCATTCTACAATTTTTGATTTTTCAATTTATAAAATAGATTAAAAAAACCTATTGGTTGATTTATTTATCTAACTATTTTAGAAATAATAATGGGAAGATAACAAAAAATATTTCATAATTTCTCACCAATTTCAAAAAAAAAATTAAAACTTGAATTCCTTTTCTCTCCTTCAAAAAATCAGACAATATTTTTCATGAAAATTGTGGGTATCTGTCTATATCTTATATATTATATTATAACATAACAAAAAAATTAAAAATCAAATATACAAACCAATAAAATTAATAAATTAGATTTTTATTTATTCAGTTAAAATATTTCTTTTGCCTCTCAATATCCAATTTTAAATTTTAAAAATCTATAAAGTCTATCTAAACAAATCTGATTTGAAAATATCTCTCACTATCATACTTTAAATCAATAAAACTCACATATGTATCACATATATAACTCGCATCATAACTTACCTAAATAATAATAATAATAATTAAAAGTAAATAGAAATCACAAATAAATTAAATTTAAAAAATAAATAAATAAAACCCCACAACTCCATCTAAAATAAATTGAAAAAAAAAACAAATCGAAATAAAAAAAAAATAAAGAAGATAAGAATTTAGATATGGTTCTCAAAAAGATATAACAATATCTAAATTTGAATTATGATTTAATAATATAATTATCTATTTTTTTGATATATATATATATATATATATATATCTATCAAAATTTTAAATCACAGACAAATTAATCAATTCTCTAAAATTATTGATTTTTCAATTTATAAAAAGATTTTTTAAAAAAAACTATTGACTATTTTATTTATTTAATTATTTTATAAATAATAATTATCTTTTAATTTATGAATTTCAAATGAAAAGATAACAAAATATTTCATAATCTCTACATCCTAATCTCTCTCACCGATTTTCAAAAAAAAATATTAAAACTTATCTGCCTTCTCTCTTCTCCAAAAAATCAAATAATAAAAGTTGTGAATATCTATCTATATCTTATATATTTTATTATAACATAAAAAAAAAAAAAAAAAACACACACACACAAACAAATCAAAACCAAAAATCAAATATACAAACAGATAA